GTCAAACGAAACTCATATAAAGTTGCCGGTAGCAAGTTAGTTTCTATATAGTACATTACTGTTTCATTATTCGTTTCAAAGTTGTCTGCAATTTCCCACTTTTGCATCACATCATTTTTGTATTCTAATATGTAATGGATCGTCTGATCGACGGTAGGAATCCACGAAATATTCATACTGTTATGCTAACTCCGCTCAAAGTTATGTTCGGTTCCGAGTGCATGTGCACATTTTTAAACTGTCATTATAAAGATTGCTGTAATTGGCTGGATACACACGCACATATACCAAGTATTTCTGTTCTGGCAGCAACTGCTTCAATTATTGTGAAAATTTGTTGTCTGCCTTACGTTTATTAATAAATGGTTCTTTTATCGGTTGCGTGCTGTTCATCGAGCTAATAGATTCCCAATATACTTTATAAGTCACTATTGCACAATTCAATTTCGTTGGTGGCGTCCAAAAACTGCCGCTATAGTAGGTGTCAGAACCTGAACCGTTACATTTTCCGGTGCTTTAGCTTGCCCACGTTAGTTCTCACTATTTGTTCCGAATCAATTGCAGATCCATTGATAATTGATCAGAATATAAAAATTGCTTAGGGCTAGTTTTAGATTGTATTTGTAAAACGGTGTTAAATTCTGAATTTCATAAAGCCGCTCATATGTGTGGATATTAAATTTGTCGAACTTGTTAAGACAATTGTCCAAACAATAGCTTATAAGGATGGTATATTTATTAGATGGTAGGGTTTTGCATCCACTCTTAGGAATCGGTTCTGGTAAGTTCAAGACGAGACTGTTCGATGTTATTCTTACTATTGTGTAAAAGTTAGAATTTTTGTCAGGCGTAAGACACTCCGTCCGAGGGTATGGTTGTAATGATTTACTGTAAGATGTCAATAATATAAGTAATTCTTGCTTTTACTATTTGCCACGTGTCTTAATGCGTTTTTTTTCACTGTCAATAAGTGCGTATTTCTTTTTTAAAATATAAATGTCAGTATCTGTTAGTTTGCTTTCAAATGCGTAAATGTTTTCTTTGTCAGTTGTTAAGAGTGAATGAAGCTGTGCGTTTTCAGCGATTAAAATATGTTGCATTTGTTTAACTTAAGGTCCACTACAATAATTTATTTGTTTCTATCCAATATATTAGCGGCACTTTTTTTTTTGCGGTGTCAAATATTGTTTCAAATTTAATATGAAAGATTGGTATTTCATATCGACAGAAGGTCATATTGCTTTTTAGAACAGATTCCACGTTTTTTCCGTTAAGATCCGATTTCATTATTATATATGGTTATGTAAACCTTCTTCTATCCAATATAACAATCTGAAAAATATATGAATTATTCTTATATGATTGCTGTAAAAATATTAGTTTAATCAGACACATAAATGAAGATAAGATATAAATGTTTTAATTTTTACAAACTTATAATGATTATGATTTTATGATTTCTATTATGATCTTTATTACAATATCATAGTTAATAACTGCAAAATTAGAAAATAATAGTAATTCTTAACTGAAAGAGACGAAAGTGTTTACTTTTTCAAGCGAATGAAAATTAGCATACCCTATGGATGGTAATACTGTTAAATAAATATAATTTTTTCTGCTCAAAATCTTGTCATATTTGAATGTGCCATTTTCCCGCATTGTTAAGCCAGCTTCATTATAATGTTGTTTTTTGGTTCATATTCTATCCCAGTATAGATTTCTTCCTATCCAGTCGATGCACAGATTGTATGGAATATTTTTGATGTTAATTATTTTTGTGCTAATGTTGTTATTTATATTCCATGTCATTAGCTTTTTTAAGGTATAATCGTTCTCGTAATCGATCCAATAAATGTTATGTCTCACTATCGAATGAATGATTTCTGGTATGTTCATAAAATAGTTAAAGAGATCGACGTAGGTTTTTGAATCTAAATCAAATATTTGGACACTTTTTTCCGATCGAATCAGTAATTTAGGTATCGGATTTTCATGTGTCGATGATACATTCATTAAATTCGTATAAGGACCAACACCAGTTTTAGTATGCATTCGCACACGGAAATAGTACGTCGTGTTGGGTTTTAGATTATGCTTATGCACTCCATTGCAGTTAAGATCCTTCTATCATCGCAGATTTCAATCTTTTTTTGATTCTCGATAAACCAACACTGCACTGTGTATCCTTTTATCCAGGTCTTGTCTAGTTAAAGTTAAAAAGATAAAAGTTAAGTTAAAAAGTTAAATAATTTTAACTTAACTTATAGTTACATTTTTAGACTCTTAACTTTTAACTTAATTCAGTTATATTTTATCAGTAACTATTAACTTTTGATTGAACTTTTTTGAAGTTTTGTCCTCATACAAAACGAGCGATATTTCATGTGAATTCGATTATTTCTCGATCTCTCTTTATTACACCAAACGTTGGTTCTGGGTCTCAATTCTTGAATTCATTCGCAAGAGAAAACGTATGCATAAATTCAGTTCTTACAGAAAAGTTGCAAGTTGATTGGCTAAAAGCCATGCAATAGCCAATAAACTTGCAACTTTTCTGTAAAAACTGAATTTACGCATACATTCCTCTTGTGAATAAATTCAATTTTGAGCTCCTGAATTTGCAATTTACGTGATCGCGAGTCTCTGAAATTTTGTGTAAAGACGCAATGAGTGTTTACATTGTGGACGAATCTGATTCGTCTACGTCGAATGAAAAAGATTTCGATTCAATTTTAAAACAATTTTAATTTTTAATTTTTTAATTATTTATTATTAACTTAATATAACTTTTAATTCAATTAATTTTATTATGAATTGACTTGCATCTTAACTAAGTTAAATTTTCAAGACAGTTATATAACTATAACTTAACTTAATTAAGAAAAAATTAACTTACCCAAATTTTTTGCTTGTATCACTTCTTTTGTAAATTCAGGTAGGCCCCATCTATAAGATAAATTTTAGTCTTTTTATATATAATAAATTTATCACTATTAATATTTTTATATGTATATATATTATTAAATTTAAGAAAAAGGAGGAATATAGATTATAAAAATTTAGATTTAAATTCATTACCTGAATGTCACAGAAATGTCTTTTTATTTAGAAATTCGTCGAACTCTACAAATGCTCTTAGCTTGTTCGGAATGATTTCTAGAAATTTTAAGACAATATATTTTGTACATATTAATATGTACAAAAACATTAAGTTGATCAATAAATTAGATTTATAAATTACAAAGATAAAGTGAAAATAAAGGAAAAGGAAAAATGAACGTATATTATAAATTTAACAGCAAATATTGATTTTAAAATAATAAAATAATATAAAAAATGTTTTTGTGTGTATTTCGAAATTTAGAAAAGTAATTGTTAATCCAGAATCAAAAGAAATAGAAGCTTTCAATAAAGCGCTACACGTTTTTCTAAAATTTTCTATTTATTCACAAAAATATATTATTTGCGACTACTTTAAAATTAACAAACGAATAAAATAATGAAATTAATGGCGTGATCTTGAATTTTACTTTTATTTTATATACAATATATGAATTTTTTTGCTCTTAGCATCAGAATAAATTATATATTGTCTTTGTTATTAAAAACTATTTTGATATTTTAAAAAATTTTTACTCTTTCTTGAATTTAAATTATATATCGAAAAAAACTTTTTTTATCGTTCTATGTATTTATTGCATCTTACCAATAGATCCTGGATTTATAGACATATTTGCAAATGTAACTTTATCGATTTCATTTTTATAGTCACGCTATCAAAATGATTGTGATCAGGCTGAAAATTTTGTAAAATGTGATGATTGTGGTTTTCGAGCATATCCATAATAAAATACATAGCATATAATAAAATGAAGCAGCTAAGTATAATTCCACACGGTATTTTTAATGATAAATAACATATTATATGTAGAAATATATATAAGTAAGATTCCCAGCCAGAAATAAATGATCAAATCGACGTCGAATCGATATCCAATCGCCGTTGATTCAACAATGAATCGTCGTCGAATTGACGTCGATTTGATATCATTTTTGGCTGGGGTTACTAAAAAGAAATAATATATATATCGAAATAAGTAAAATGAGCATAACATTTTTCATTTTTGCAATATCTGCTTAATACTTATTTTTAAACCTTTTATTCTTAAAATATAATGTATTAAAATATTGTATGATTCTATTTCTAAAAAAATTTATTCTTATTATTTTTCAACACATTTTCTTGTGAAATGACAAACATAATTCTTATATCAAAATGACAGGCAAGCAAAATAAGCTAATACGGATTATTTGAAAATTCATAATCGTTATCTTTTGACAAATGATATATTGAAAATGTTACTCTCTTTGATTATTGAAGTAATTTTGCTAATGATTACAGATTACAGCTAATAATTTGTTTTTTTCTTCAGAGTAGTTAACTTTTTTAAGTAAGCGAGTTTATTTTTTAAGAATCCGTCCATTATGGTTAAAATTTCAATAACGTTTGTATTTCAAAAATGAAAATATTATCTTTTGTGTGTGTGTGTAAACTACTCCTACATTTATAGGTCGATTTTTAAGAAATCTGTACCAACATTTTCCTAATTTTCCGGGAATTGATCTTACGTGGCTTTTTTTTTGTTACGTTTTTTTTCTTAAAAAAATCAATAAGCACCAAATTCTGTCTGGAATTAAATTAAAAATGAAATAAAAAAGAAGCAAAAACAAAACCATATAAACATTCATCTCAATAACATTAGAAATATTTTAGTACTTGTTTCTCGAAAATTGATCCACAAATGTAGTAGTTCGCGATCGAACAGAGGAAATTATAAGTAAATAAAAAAAGTTATATACAGGCTTTGAGGCCCGCGCTGTGTGCGGGCCGAAATTCTAGTTATATATATATGTATATAAATTCGAGCAGATAGCTGATGATTGTTGTTACGTTTATTGATATAATTTGAATTTATTGTACCAGTTAATCGACATTCCATTACCTACAAATGCAGCTATTCTTGATACAAAAATAATTCTGATTTTTTGAATTAATTTTGTTAAATATAAATTAATTTACAAATTTTAATTATATAAATAATTATAAATATCTAGAAAAATAAAAAAGTTTTTTAGGAATTGATGAAAAATTACTCAGTTCAAACTCAGTTCAAATGTAATATATGTGTATTAATGTAGCGGAAAATTAACAGAAAATCTCATTAATATTAGTAATTATTATTCTTAAAGAATAACAATTACAGAAACACAAAAATATGTAATACAAGCAAGTTTTAATCATCTAAATTAAGTTTAACTTTTGTACTATATACATTTATATTATAAATATAATAAAATTTCCAATATTTACATATCTTTTTTATAACATCGCATATACTCTTTAGTTTTGTAATTTTATTTTATTATACAATGTGTAATATATTATTTTATAACACATTTTAGTTTACTTAAATAAACACCACACTATTACTTATAAAATCTTGTAATATAATATTCAATTGTTATTTTTTAATAAAACAAAGGAAATCTCATACCTGCGTGAAATTTAAATTCGGGCACATGTCCGAATGGCATTCTTCCTGAAGATTATCCGAAACGGCATGATTTTTCGTCAAAATTGCGATAGCTGTCTTCGTCAGCATTAAACTTTTCAATAAAATATATAATCTCATCCCAAACATAATAATCTTCTTCGATGAACGTTTGCGCTCAATATTTAGTAAGCAGTATTCTTTTTACTTTATTGTATGATTCAGATTTGCTAATCCACTCGATACTTTCTTATAATATGCTCAATGAATTCTTTAGAATCTAGTTTGCAAATTGCAGTACTGTCTTCCCATATTACATTTTAAGATTTTTATGATTAATCTCACAATATATATGTAGGATGGCGGATTTCGGAAATTATTTATTTCAAATAATAAATTATTATTAGCTGGTCTCTAGCACTTGTATTTAATAATATATTTCTAAAGATATAAAGGGCGCGTATACAGTCTCTAATTTCGTATGACTGGCAAATAGATTTTTTGTTGGATTTAACACGGTGAGAAACACGTATGTTGTCTTTCGCGCGACTCAGTCTTCTGTCTCGTCGATTTTTCGTATCCTCGCTTTCGGTTAGCATACGTGTCGATTATTCGAAAAGGTCGTGACAACTATTCCCTTTTTTCTTTTCGCTCACAATACAGTATTGTGTCGATACAAAACAACACGCTCAATAAACATGAGATATAACGAAATTTCGACAAATAACCCGACTCGAGAACACGCATAACATCGGTCAAATATATAAATATTATAACAATAAAAATTCGATTTCTACATATACAATATATGTACATCTTATTAGATTAAATGAGAGAACTTTTAGTAAGTAAATAAGTAAGTAATAAGTTTTTATAATTTTTTCGACGGGAACCAATAACAACATATGAAGTGATGTATATATTCATTTGATTGTATCGAAAACAATAATATATCTTTTTCTTTTGTAATTTTTCTTAATATTCCAAAACAGTAAAAAAAATAATCAATAAAAAGATAGTCGAGAGAACAATTTACAAACCGAAAATTATAGAATTATGGATTTTCTATTTCCCCACTGTTCAACCGTAAAATACAACATTATTCACGTATATATATGTAATATTTTTTGTTTCACTAAAAATATAAAAAATTACGACTATTTTCTTTTATGCGTGCATTGTATACATATATATTGTATAAGTTTTTTAGGATCCACTATTCGTGCATTTTGCTATATAATATTTATATCACACGGTTTGAATTAAATAACCCATAATGTTGTGACGATCATAATAATACTGACTCTGGAGACTATATTGAACGTATCTTACCATGCCATTAAGGCCGTTTCAAACCGTGGCGTAATAATTAAGCGCAGCGCACCCAGGCGGCTGTCGACGTCTTGTTTAGAATAAATTGAAATAAAAAAGAACAAAATTGAAAAAATTTTGAATTGTAGGGGGAAATTAAAATAATGTTTGATTAATTTACAATAATTAATAATTCTCTTTTCGCGAAATATATATATTTATTTATATTTGTCTCAATTTAAGTTCAATTAATGTTATGTTTATTAATGTATTCAAAATTTTTTTTATTCCATAATTCTAAACCGTAATATTAACGTTTAATATTCGCCTTCTAATAATTAAAAAAACAATTGAGATATTTACTCACATCATCTTATATTTGAAAAACTAATTCTGTCTTTTCTAATTCTGTCAATTAAAAAAGGACAACGACGGAGCATTCTGCGCCTAAGTGCAAGCCCTTGAAATGACCCTGTATGTCATATATGAAGCTCCATTTTTATAATTTATTTTTCTTTACGCTGATATACTCGATTGTTACGTCCAACAGTTTACGCGAATAATTAGATTCTACATATATATTTAAAAAAAGTTATTTTTTCTATAATATATTGAACTGTACGCTTGATATGCTTATATATAAAATATTTCAATAGATACAAAATATTTCAATTTTGCTGAAATTAATGGCATCAAAGTTGGGTAGTATTATAATTAATAGTTAATTTGTTAAAAGTTAAATAAAAAATTATAATACCTTTAAACTTATCTTGATTAATTTAAAATGAGTTAATTTTATATCTTAAAACTATTATTTATTTTTAAACTTAAATTTATAAACTTTTTTCCTAAGTTAAAAATCTTTTTCATTTCTAAATGCCATTATTTTTTTCTATAAAATTAAACATTGGACAATTAAATTTTTAATAACGACTAAATTTTAATAAAAGATAATTATTTTATAATGTATATCATTTTTACAAGATTTATTTAAAAAAACTAAAGGTACTATTAATTTTCATTTTTTTTCATAAATTTAATTACCAAAGGAAAAGGTACATTATCCTATATAAAAACTAAATTTTTGTTAGTTCCCTGTTATTTTATATATTTATGTTTATTTGGTTGTTTATTTTATATAAATTAAGAAATTAATATAAATATAATCCCTTTCTAAAAAAGGCATGTTATTTATACTCGAATGTATCGAAGAATTGTTGCCTTTAATCCGTGATGCCGA